TGGAACTCCTGGGCTCAAACAATCTTCCTACCTCAGCCTTCCAAGCAGCCAGGACTACAGGCACACACCATAATTCCCAGATAATTTTAAAAATTTTTTGTAGAGATAAGAATCTTGCAACGTTGCTCAGGCTGGTTTGAACTCCTGGCCTCAAGCAATCCTCCTGCCTTGTCCTCCTGAAGTGTTGGGATTCCAGGCAGGTGCAAGCCACCATGTCCAGCCTTATACTTAGTTTTATTTTAAACATCTTATAAGAAATTTTAAAAATTAAAAATGAAATCAGCTATGAGAGAGTAGTCTGAGATGAGGCTAGAGAGGCAGGCAGGGGTCAGATGGTAGCTGCCTTGTAGGCCATTTAAAGTTTGGCTTGCATCTAAGGCCAGAGGGGAACCACTGAAAGGTTTTAGACATGGAGAATGATCTCATTATGTTAACATTCAGAACATCGCTCCTACTGAAGTAGGAGTGAATTTGGGGAGAGTGAGCGTGGACCAGGAAGCGTGGTTAGGAGAAAGTTGCTGCAGTCAAAACTGTAGTGACACATAGGTACTACAGTAATAGGGTATTGGGGAGGGAGGAGGGGAGAGGGGGGCGAGTATATACATACATAATGAGTGACATGTGCACCATCTGAGGAATGGTCATGCTGGAAACTCAGACTTGTGGGGGGAGGGGGGGAAAGGGCATTTATTGAAACCTTAAAATCTGTACCCCCATAATATGCTGAAATAAAAAAAACAAAACAAAAAAAAACAAAACTGTAGTGCACCCTCCTTAAAACACCGTCTTCTCTCAGCTTCTAGTGTTCTTCCTTCCTGGTGCTCCTTTACCTCCCTGGCCGTGCTCCTTCCTGTCTGCCTCTAATTCCTCTTCCTCCAGCCCTTTAAATGGTGATGTTTCTCAGAGCATTTCTTCTTTGCCCTCTTTTCTCCTCAATTTTTAGTTAACATGCCTTAGCGATCTCATTTGTCTCCCCCAACTTCAACTACCACCTCTATGCACATGATTCCCAAATTTATTCCTCCGTTCTCCCAGCTCCAAACTGCCTACTGGACATGTCTTCTTGGCTGTCTCTTAATTAAACAAAATCCAGCATGTCCAAAATGGAGTTACTATCCTTTCCATATGTGCATTTTCCTCCTGTGGTCAGGATCTTAATTAACCATATTGCTGTATATCCAGTTGTCTGATCCAGAAACCTGGGTATTATTCTAGACTCCTTTGTCTCTGTCAACCTGCCTCTTTTTTTTTTTTTTTCATACAGAGTCTTGCTTTGTTGCCCAGGCTAGAGTGACTGCCGTGGCATCAGCCTAGCTCACAGCAACCTCAGACTCCTGGGCTCAAGCAATCCTGCTGCCTCAGCCTCCCGAGTAGCTGGGACTACAGGCATGTGCCACCATGCCCAGCTAACTTTTTTTCTAGATATGTTAGTTGGCCAATTAATTTCTTTCTATTTATAGTAGAGACGGGGGTCTCACTCTTGTTCAGGCTGGTTTTGAACTCCTGACCTCAAGCAATCCGCCTGCCTCAGCCTCTTAGAGTTCTAGGATTACAGGCGTGAGCCACCACACCCGGCCAACCTGCCTCTTTAACCTGGTTTCCACGGTAGAAATTAAGGGTAAGGTTTTGGTGCTATGTGCGCTGATGTATTTAGGGACCCAGGAGGGCTCAATTCCTGCCTCGATACACAGCTTTTTCATTCCTGTTTAGAAGACTTAAGTGATCTCACCACCAGCAACATGAGATACCAACATTAGAGCATTACATATAATCTTTGTGTATGTGTGCTAGGTAGATAGTTAGGATCTCCAGCTCTAACTATAATCTTGATATGAACTTGATTTGGTTTCTAATGGCTTTTCCATCCTCATCTGCTACCATTTCTTTTATACTCTGTGCTGCAGGGACATCAACCTACTTGAAATCCCCGAAAGTACCATGTTATGTTAGGGCTCTGTGCCTTTCTGCCTGAAATGGCTTTCCTTACCTTGCCTGTCTGGTGAACTCGAAGGTTTTTAGACCAGCCCCGTTTTAGCGTTTGTCTTGCTGTGCCCTGATTATGAGTTTGCATGCCTGTTTGTCCCCAGTAGACGTTGAGCCTCTGCGGCACAGAAACTGCCTCTTTATTTTTGTATCTCCATGGCCTGGCAATAGTAGGTGCTCAACAAATGTATTTAGGGTCATTGTCTTACCCAGCAAGCTTCACCTCTCTCTTTTTGTCCCTGTGCTAAGGTTGTCTGAGGCTAGTTGTAGATTACTGAAACAAATATTCCAGAGGAAAGAATACATTCTAAATTCTTAGGACAGATATTCTGTGTCTTCTGCTGTTCTGGTATTTTTTACTTTGCTCTGCAGCTCTGGATACAAAGTCCATGTTGAATAAATGAAAGAAAAAATGAACAAAGAGATAAAAACTGAGGAAGGGTGATAGCATTAAATGCTGAAGCTAGAGGAAACACCAAAAGGCCCTTGAAAAGAAATAATTACATAGCCTGGTAATTTAATAGACGTTTGGAAGTCGAATTAGATAACTTCAGGTACCTCATTCATCTCCCCTGTCCACTCCCTTTGACATGTACAACATGAGAAGGCTGGACTGTATCAGGGTCTCAACCCGGCTCCCTGGGAGAATGACCAGTGGAGCTAAGAGAATCCCAGTCTTCAGGCCCCACCCTAGAGATTGGTAAATAAATGATCTGGTTTGGGGCCTGGGAATCATGTTTTTAAAATGGCCCTCTTGTTGATTCTAGTGTGCAGCCAGGGTGGAGAGCGAGTGAGTTACATGAACCCTGAGGTTCATCTAACAATGAACTCACATTTTATACTTCTCTGATTTTTCTTTTAAAGAACTTCAAGGAAGTATTTATATAGAGAACGTTTTAAATAAACGTTGCCCTATTCTCAGTCTTGGTCCATAACCCTTCCAGGACCTGTCTTTTTTTTTTGAGACAGAGTCTTGCTCTGTCATCTGGGCTAGAGTGCCGTGGCATCAGCCTAGCTCACAGCAACCTCAAACTCCTGGGCTCAACGATCCTTCTGCCTCAGCCTCCCGAGTAGCTGGGACTACAGGCATGCGCCACTATGCCCAACTAATTTTCTCTATATAGTTTTAGTTGTATGAATAATTTCTTTCTATTTTTGGTGGAGACAGGGTCTCGCTCTTGCTCAGGCTGGTCTCGAACTCCTGACCTTGAGCAATCCACCTGTCTCGGCCTCCCGGAGTGCTAGGATTACAGGCGTGAGCCACCTCGCCCAGCCTCCAGGACCTGTCTTTATCACCTCTTTTAAATGTCTTCCTTATAAATCTTCAAGCTTTCACTATGTTATCTGTTGCTTATCTTCCAAACATGCTTAATTTTTCTTCATCCCTTAACAAACTGTAAAAGTCCTGCTTTCAACTGCTGCGTGTTCTTCAAACTCTTTACACATCCCTCTTCTCCCTTTCATCATTTTTTGAGAGGGTGATTTATGTTTCGTGCATTCACTTGCTCATCTTCTACTCACTCAGCCTACTGATATCTGACTTTGGATGTTACCGCTAACAAAAAGTTTTCCTTCAGAGATCTAGTGACTTCCAGCTTGCCAATCATACTGTGTCTCTTCAGTCTTAGTGCCGCTTCTCTCAGCAGTTTCTGACACTGCAGTACTGATGATCTCTTCCTTCTTTTTTTTTTTTTGAGACAGAGTCTCACTTTGTTGTCCAGGCTAGAGTGAGTGCCGTGGCGTCAGCCTAGCTCACAGCAACCTCAAACTCCTGGGCTCGAGTGATCCTTCTGCCTCAGCCTCCCGAGTAGCTGGGACTACGGCATGTGCCACTATGCCGGCTAATTTTTTATATATATATTATCAGTTGGCCAATTAATTTCTTTCTGTTTATAGTAGAGATGGGGTCTCGCTCTTGCTCAGGCTGGTTTTGAACTCCTGACCTTGAGCAATCCGCCCGCCTCGGCCTCCCAAGAGCTAGGATTACAGGCGTGAGCCACAGCGCCCGGCCTTCTTCCTTCTTGAAATGTTTTTCTACTCTTAGCTTCTGTGTCATGGCACTCTCATAATGTATCTTTCTCTGACTAGTCTACCTCATTGGGAAAGTGGGGAAATATCATATGGGTATATATGGGAATTTCTTTAGCTGTTTACAATTCATTTCTGAAATGAATATTTATTGAATGACAACAAAGTGCCCGATATCTCTTGCTATATAACAAATTACCAATTTAGTGGCTTAAAACAACGCACATTTATTATCTCGCAGTTTTATGGATCAGGAATCTGGGTGTGGCTTAGCTCTGCCTTCTGCACAAGGCTGCAGTCGTGGAGTTGGCCAGGCGGGGAGTCTCGTCTGAAGACTCAGCTGGGATGGGATCCACCTCCAAGTTCTGTTATTCTGAAGTGCGGCAACGTTGAAAATCACTGCTTCCGGAGGGGCAGTGGAAGAAATAAGTAAGATATCTCAGCGAAAGATAGGATGAGAAAATGTTGCACATTCCTGAATGTGGAGAATTTAAACCTAGAGTTAAAGCTGAGTTCCTTAAAAACGTCACACATACAGACAGGCACACGTATACATTTCAAATAGTATATGACATAGTGAAGTAATAAAAATGATCTCTAAGTGCATGGCCAATGAAATGGGGAATATGTCTTTGTGGGAATGGAGGGAGGAATCAGAAATGTAAAAGAGAATAAAAATGTAGCCTCTCAAAATCCAACAGTTCTGCCTCTTGTTACAACAGGGTGAAGTTCATCGTCTGGGGCAAATGTATCTTGTTATTGCTCTTTAAACCTATCTTGCTCTTCTTAAATAAACTTTGTTTCACTCTTTAAAAAAATCTAACAGTTTAGTTTTTGTACACATGAAGTAAGCAATAAAATGGAATAAAGAACTGCCTGGAATAATTAGCATTTCACTTTGTGCTTAGCACTAAAGTGTGTGTGTGTGTGTGTGTGTGTGTGAAAGGTATAACTTGCAAATTATTCTGATTTCCTCCTTTATTTTCTAGGAATATTTTGAAAACGATTGCTCTGGGTCAGATGTTGTCCTTGTGTATCTGTGGAACAGCCATCGCCAGCCAGTATTTGGCAGAAAGATACAAAGTGAACACTCCCATGCTTCAGAGCTTTATCAACTATTGCTTACTATTCCTGGTGTATACAATGATGCTGGCATTTCAATCAGGTATGTCAAATGTGGGAATTACCTTTTCAACAAAATTATTTTCATAAAAATTTTTGGCTTCTAGACATTGGAAAAATAAGACATAGGGCAAAACCCCAAACAGAAAACTATAGCTGTATTTCTAAAAGTTATTAGAAAACTATGACAACTTGTAAATTCTATGAAAGTAGTAACTAGAGATTTATGCATAATTCTCTGAATTGTCGATTAAAATAAGTAGCACCAAAGTGTAACAGAGTAGAAATTGTAAAAAAAAAACCAACCCTATAATGTTAGCCAGAGTCTAGGCAGACAAAGGGCCACTCCTGCACTGTGGAACGTATTTTCTCGATTCCTTCCAGCATGCAATAAAGTCCTTTTTCCAAACAAACAAACAAACAAACAAACTGTAATGTCATTACCAGTAAGATTTTTTCTCAATATTAAAAATTATTATTATTATTATTATTTTTTGAGACAGTCTCACTCTGTTGCCCGGGCTAGAGTACCATGGGGTCAGCCTAACTCACAGCAACCTCCAACCCCTGGGCTCAAGCGATCCTCCTGCCTCAGCCTCCCGAGTAGCTGGGACTACAGGCATGCGCCACCATGCCCGGCTAATTTTTTCTATATATATTAGTTGGCCGATTAATTTCTTTCTATTTATAGTAGAGACGGGGTCTCGCTCTTGCTCAGGCTGGTTTCGAACTCCTGACCTCGAGCAATCCGCCTGCCTCGGCCTCCCAGAGTGCTAGGATTGCAGGTGTGAGCCACCACGCCTGGCCAAAAATTATTAAAACAATATTTAAAACACTTAAAAAGTCAAGAATCTCACTCTCTAAAAAATATATTTCCAACTAAGTGGAAAATGCTAGATGGAACATCAATTGCATGTAGATCGAGTCTCTCTTTTGAGAGACACAAAGATAAGGAATTGGCAAGGAATTAACGTTTTATCACTGGCTGCCTAAGCTACTTTAGAGCGATCACAGGATTGTTATTTCTAGCTATCTACCCGAACATGGGAAAAAACTAGGTTCTAACATGTTTGTGCTAGGCATCATTTTTATTGCTTAAATCGTTAAGTTATGCTTCTACTCATTGAAGCCTCACAACTTAGGTGAGTATTATGCCCATGTTACAGATGAGGAAACTGAGGCATATAGCACTTAGTTAACTTATTCTAAGTCTTATTGGTAGTAGCTGGTGGAGCCAGGATTGCATCTTACGCAGCCTGCCCCAGAGCCCATGCTACCACCACCACTCGGTATTAGAGGCTGCTAGTCATGGTAACAAACGACCTTCGCACAAGAGAAGAGCATGGTAATGTCACATAAATAAAATGACATTGAAGTAAGGAATGTGGGGAAAATGGGTAACCCAGACTGATTGGGAAGGTGCAGTTCTTCCATTGTCATCATATTTAAGGCATATAATAAAATCACCAGTGTGGTATTTGTTAATCCTCTTTCCAAAAATGAACCTCCATGCATATCAATGGTATTACTATGTGTCTATTTTAAAGAAAACAGAAACTAATTGTGGGAGAGAGGAAAACATTTTAAGAGGGAAGCACCAAATTTGGCAAGAGCTTAAGGAGTTGGAAGTAGAATTGGTATGTGGTTAATAACCCTGGACTTTGCTCTTCTCTGGAAGCATTGGCCTTTAGGAAGTCAGTGAGATTCATAAATACATCAGTGCAGTCCCCCTAAGGGATGTCTGTTACGTGTTTCCCATGCAGTCCTGTGTTGACAAACACTAATTCTGTGGTCTCAGTTGCCCAGGCTGGTATGCAGTGGTACCATCATAGCCAACTGCAGCCTCCAACTCCTGAGCTCAAGCAATTCTCCTGCCTCAGCTTCCCCATTAGCTGGGACTACAAGTGTAGGCCACCATGTCCACACTAAATGTCCAGTTAAATATTTTGAAAAACTTTTTTGTAGAGATGGGGGTCTCACTCTATTGTCCAGGCTGGCCTCAAACTCCTGGGCTCAAGCTATCTTCCCACCTTGGCATGTCAAAGTGCTGGAATTACAGGTGTGAGCCACCACACCCAGCTCTAATTGTTTTTTTTTTTTTTTTAATGTTTTAACTTTGAGTTTTCTTTTTCTTTTCTTTTTTTTCTTTTTTTTTTTTTTACATTTCAGAGTATTACAGGGGTACAAATGCTTTGGTTACATAAATTGCCTTTGTACCCCCTGAGTCAGAGCTACAAACATGCCCATCCCCCAGATAGAGTGCACCACACCCATTAGGTGCGAGTTTAACTATTCTTTCCTCCCCACTTCCAGCTGCCTAACACCTGATGAATGTTGCTTCTGTATGTGGGCATAGGTTTTGATTGATTAGTGCCAATTTAATGGTGAGTACATGTGGTGTTTGTTTTTCCATTCTTGTGATACTTCACTTAGGAGAATGGGCTCCAGCTCCATCCAGGATAATATAAGAGGTGCTATGTCACCATTGTTTCTTATAGCTGAATAGTACTCCATGGTATACATAAACCACATTTTGTTAATCTACTCATGGATTGAAGGGCACTTGGGTTGTTTCCATATCTTTGCAATTGTGAATTATACTGCTATAAACATTCGAGTGCAGATGTCTTTTTTATAAAATGTCTTTTTTTTCTTTGGGTAGATACCCAGAAGTGGGATTGTGGATCATATGGTAGTTCTACTTCTAGCTCTTTGAGGTATCTCCATACTACTTTCCATAGAGGTTGTACTAGTTTTCAGTCCCACCAACAGTGTATGAGTGTTCCTATCTCTTCATATCCACGCCAACATTTGTTGTTTGGGCAATTTTTGATAAAAGCCATTCTCACTGGGGTTATTCATAAGCGAATATCTCATTGTGGTTTTGATTTACATTTCCCTGATGATTAGAGATGTTGAGCATTTTTTCATATGTTTCTTGGCCATTAGTCTATCTTCTTTTGAAAAGTTTCTGTAGCAAAAAGTTTCTGTACCTAGAAATATATTTGACTAAGGAGGTAAAAGAGGGAGAACTATGAATCACTGAGGAAGGAAATAGCAGAGGACATAAACAGATAGAAAACCACACCATGCTCATGAGTCAGCAGAATCAACATTGTTAAAATAGCTGCACTATCCAAAGTGATATATAAATTCAATCCAATCCTTTTTAAAATATCAACATCAGTTTTTGCAGATTTAGAAAAATAATTCTACTCTTTGTATGGAACCAGAGAGGACCCCATATAGCAAAAGCAATCTTAAGCAAAACCAAAACAAAAACAAATTGGGAGGTATTAATTTACCAGACTTCAAATTATACTACAAGGCTATATTAACCAAAACAGCATTGTATTGGCACAGTAACAGAGACATAGACCAGTGGAACAGAACTGAGAACCCAAATATAAAACCATCCTCATATAGCCATCTGATTTTTGACAAAGCAAACAGAAACATACACTGGGGAAAAGAATCCCCTTTCAATAAATGGTGCTGGGAAAATTGGATAGCCACATGTAGAAGACTGAAACAGGATCCACACCTCTCACCTCAGAAAAATCAACTCATGGTGGATAACAGACTTAAACCTAAGGCATGAAACCATAAGAACTCTAGAAGAAAATGTTGAAAAAACTCTTAGACATTAGCCTCGGCAAAGAATTTATGAAGAAGACCCCAAAAGCAATCATAGCAACAACAAAAATAAATAAATGGGACCTGATCAAATTAAAAAGCTTCTGCACAGCCAAAGAAACTTTTGCGCATCACTACAGCGCATAGACAACCGAGAGAATGGGAGAAAATATTTGCATGCTACACATCTGATAAAGGGTTGATAACTAGAATCTATATAGAACTCAGGAAAATCAGCAAGAAAAAATCAAACAATCCCTTATTGGGTTTTAATGATAATTATTTAGTTGTGATTCTCACTACTTATATTTCTTTGTAGGTTATCTTACCATAAAACCTTCTTATATGTGTGCCAACTCTATTATCTCCTATGGTGCTAGATTCTCCAAAAGTAGTGAATCCAATTTTATTTATTTATTTATTTTTAGGGGCAGAGTCTCACTGTGTTGCCCAGGGTGGAGTGCAGTGGCATGATCATAGCTGACTGTAACCTTCACCCCCTGGGCTCAAGTGTTCCTTTCTCCTCAGTTTCCTGAGTAGCTAGGACTGACTACAAGTGTATACCACCACGTCTGGCTAATTCATTTTTTTTTTTAAGAGATGGAGTCTTGCTATGTTGCCCAGGCTGGTCTCAAACTCCTGGCCTCAAGCGATCCTCCTGCCTTGGCCTCCCAAAGTGCTGGGGTTATAGGCATTAGCTATAGTGCCTGGCCAATTAATTTGAATAAACAGAATTTGGGGGAATAAAAGATGTTTCTGGAATGGTGCCACTAAGCCCTTTCCCAAGCTTATCACTGATTCAATTTTCACTTGAAAGTGCATGTATGCCAAAAAGAATGATCACATGCAGAGTTTTCTTTGAAGAAGTCCATGAATGGAGGTTAAATAACCAATTAATTTGTAGGAAAACATTTCATTTCCTAGGATAGTCTGTAGCTTGTTAGAAATGGTGACATCCAGGCTTATATCTGGATATTATATTTCTGTTGCAATAGGAAAGGGACTTTTTTTTTTTTTTTCTTTTTGAGATAGGGTTTCACCATATTGCCCAGGCTGGTCTTGAACTCCTAGGCTCAAGTGATCCTCTTGCCTCAGCCTCTCAAGTAGCTGGGGTTACAGGGGTATGCCACTGCACCTGGCTAGGGAAGGGAATGGAACCACTTTTCTCCTACTTTCTTTCTGGTGCTTTCATTGAATACTTAATCTATGATGACACCTTAACTTGGATCTCGTACTAGAAAAACTGTAACTGACTCTGCTGAGCTGTTGCAGGAGTTTGGGTTATGAGTAATGGAAATTAGGAGGGGCCACATTTGATATACACAGTAAACACTTGATTTGGCTCTTTGATCTCCAAATTAACATGGATGGTATCATTTTCAAGTAACATCTACTAACCTAGATTTCTTTCAATCAGGCAGTGATAACCTTTTAATAATCTTGAAAAGGAAATGGTGGAAGTACATTCTGCTGGGACTAGCAGATGTGGAAGCCAATTACCTGGTTGTCAGAGCCTACCAGTACACAACTCTAACCAGCGTCCAGGTAAGAGGGAGCCCTCTCACCTCTCTGGATTTTATAGCTTCAAGAGAAGACCATGAACTCATACTTATGTTAACCTAATTTTATTGAAAACCTGTTCACTTAGAGGGAACCTAAACACAGGTGGGTGATGTTTCCCAGTGGAGCATATGCTCTAATGAGTAATGTTTTCTGGAATTAGTAAAATGTCTACAAGTTAATCAGTTCCCAAACTGCTAATGCTATCACAGATGAGAACAGTTCCTACCCAAATAAGCATAAATATTTAGTTGGCAGTTGATGCTGTGATGTTGAGAAGAGTTCTGTCTTCTGTGTTGCTCAGATATGGCATGTGAAAGTAGGTGTACCTTGTACTATAGACAAATTGGATGTTTGCAAGCAAAGTAGATATTCACGACAAAGGAACCATTCAAGGGAACCTATTAAATATTTTGGGGAGAGGTGGTAGCCAAAGGTAAAACTCCCATCCCTGTTTCTTTGTTAGGTTTATTCTTGCTGGGTTGAAAGAAGAATGTTCCTACATTGCAGTACTTTTCAACTTTGTGAAGTTGAGGAAGACTGATTTCAGTTATCTTCATATTAGCAAACTACGAGATATATCATAACACTGAAACCACCATAACTAACAATAAAACGCTTTATAAAAGGAAGTGAAAGTGAGGTAGACTCCAATGCCAAGTTTAGATGTCATAGTTTAATGGATTTATAACTATCTGATGCATCACTTTTCTCACTATGCAAAACACAGACATCTCCAAATTTTAGAAACTGGAAAAATTAGAATGAAATTAGTCTTATTTTACTTGGAAAAGGTAAGGATTGATGACCACTCAGTATTTTTCGAATGTGTACGTACATTAAATGTTATTACCAGAATGCATTTTATTAAATATTTTCCTTCCTGTAACATTGTGCCAAGCATTGGCCTTAGCGGACCTCTTGGTTTTTGGCTGGTATGGGTTAAAAAGCCGAGATAGGAAGTGATTTGTGACAACAGATGTCACAGGAGGCACACAGAGAACCCAGAAATTCATAAAAATGAAAACCAGGAGTTACCTAGAGGACGAAGTTTATCACAAATGGGAGTAAGTGTATGCTCAGCGTTGAGTAATGAGGTATGCATCAGTATGTAGAAGATGGCATTTTCTAGTCACATCTACTCCCATAATCTCACACACATTTTAATTACTTAATTGCAGAAACTTTGATCTCTGATAACAAGAAAAAGTTTTGAATTAGTACAAGGTCTAAACACAAATAAAACCCAAACACTTATAGATTTTTGTGACTAAAGTTCATGCCTTGTACTATCGAAAATGATTTCCTTGCACATGATCATGGCTTTGGTAAAGAAAAAATAAAAAAAGAAAAAAACAGAAAATGATTTCTTTCATCCTAGCCTCTTAGAAAAACCCAAGCATTTGGTTGTCAAAAGTCAAGTACTTATCATCTTAGCAGGGAACATTTTTATAATTAAGGCATCTAACCATGAAAACTCCACCAGCAGCAGAGTTCTCTTTCACTGGGATTATTCAAGCCAGTTCTCTATTTAAGTAAATCCCTGGTCTGGGTAATCTGAAAGGGTGGAAATTTGGATTAGGTGGTGGTCTTTGAACCTCTTTCTTGAGGATTTCTTTGAAGATTTGGTAATTACAAATCGTTATGAGGTAGTTCCTGTGAAGTTCATGATGTCACCAGGTTTCTACTCATGTCCCCCTTTACTGCCACACCATCTGGTTCCCACCCACAGACTGCTCCTTGTCTCCTCCGCTGCTCTGCCGCTCTGCTTTTTCTAGACTGCAGTCCTTTTTGAATATCCTCGCCCCTAAGGCCTAATTCAATTTCACTTTCTTTTCTCTACTCCATTGTACCTCTGATATGGTCCAACCCATTTTTATGCTCATGTCCCCAGGGTCTGTCTTAGTCCCCTGCTTACTGTGACTGTACCATAATTTTAAAATATTAAATTAAATGAGACTCTTGGAACTGAAAGCATTATAGAGGAAAAGACTTATCCATCACCAAGACCACATTTTGAAAAGGAGGTTCATGTAGACAAACGAGACGATAGGCATCATCAGTGGAGAAATCATGGAATGTTAGAATCGGAGGGGGCCTGCACGATCATTTAGTCTGATCTCTTTGTTTCATACTTTGACTCCGACAATGGCCAGAGATCACACAGCTGGCTGGTCAGTGGCAGCGCTGGGGCCTGAGGCCCCTGGAGCTTTGACCATGACATAGGCAACTCCCTTATTATAGGGCCACTCATTGCCCACTGAAAATTGTGAAAGATAGAGCAAATTTAAGATAGAGCACATCAATTTAGGATTGATTTTAAGACACAAGGATAAGGGAGTCTTCTGTGATAGTTTTTAGGGTGGTTATTTTCTTTCCTACTTTTTTTAGTTTAAGGAATGTAGCTCAGACTTTGTTAAGCCATTAGGGCTGGATTCTGCTGGTGTCTTCCGGGACAGGCTATCATCATTTGCATCGTTTAATGGTTGGTTATTCAGGCAGGCTCAATAAAGCACTTAAGAGATTAGAGTTCTGCAGCTGGAATAAATAACAAGGCAAGATGCCCATTCCTACTCATGGTGTGTCGGACACTGGTGACGTTACTGCAGTAAAAGGCCCTCTGTAAACAACTGCGGACAGGATCGGACGGGAGATTTAGGGCCTGACTTGCCCAAGATTAAACAGATACAGAGAGAATCGGTGACAAGGTTTAAAAACAAACAACAGGGTGAGAATAAAACAGCAGTTTCAGGAGTATTATTACTATAAGGAATATATTTTTTCCTTGAATACACTGGAATGCATCAAGGATTGTCCTTGAATACACATAAAATTTGTGAATTTAAGAATTGAGGGAGTGCAATCTCTGGTTTTCTTTTATTTTAGGAGTGATTTCAGATTTATTGTAGTTTTGGCACGCATTTCAGATGGGCAGTATTAGAGGTATAGCAGGTGTTTTCTGGACCTAGGTCAACAGGTGTTGGAGGAGCATGTGATGAAGATGAGCAAGAGCATTTGCTGTGAGCAAGCGTCTGTATCACATGGTGTGGTTGGACACTCCGGCAGGGGGATGGTGCCTGGGCGCTCTCTCACGGTAACCTGTACTGCTTAGCTCTTAGCCCAGTTGCAATTAGATGCTCTGGTTGTGTGATGATTTATTCCACGTGTTTTCTTGCTTTGTGTGCTCCTGAGGGCACGGCTCGTATCTGCCCTGTTCACTTCTATTCCTAGCTCCTTGCACTGTGTGTTGCACATTCGACGTGTCTAATAAATATTTGTTCCCTGAGTAAATGGATGCATGCAGGAAGGAGAGTTTGCCTACTGGGCTTAAGAATAAACCCTGGTGGGAGTGGAGAGGTAAATTGCACAGGCCCTCATGCAGAATTCTTGGGTTCAGCAACTGGCTCTCCCATTTTTAACTGTGTGATTTGGGGTAACCCATTTCACCTCATTTATAGCTTCATTTTCCCATGTATAAAATGGGATCGTAATTTCAATCTCACAGAATTGTGAGGATTAAATGAGTTAATCCAGATAAAGCACTTAGTCCAGGGCTGGCTTATAATAAATGCTCAATAAATACTGACTCTTATTAATACTGAATTGCCCATCTTTTAGCTAATGAGAGATGTTTTAAGCTGTTTATTTCTCCTTCCATGCAGCTCTTGGATTGCTTTGGGATTCCTATGTTGATGGCTCTCTCGTGGTTTATTCTTTATGCAAGATACAGAGTGATCCACTTCATTGCTGTGTCTATCTGTCTGCTGGGCGTGGGAACCATGGTTGGTGCAGATGTCTTAGCAGAGAGGCAAGACAATTCAGGTGAGAATGTTACTTATTTGTGGTTTAGTCACAGAAGAGTTTTGCTCATGTTTTCACTTTTATTTTGCAAAGATACAGTTAACAGCAGAAAACATGTCCTGGTTAACTACCTTTTAAATTTTATTTTCAGGTTTACTTGTTTATGGTATTTTGTAACCACTTCAGCAAAATATTCTTTATATTCCTACCAGCCCATGGTCCTTGTTCTGTTTTTGTCACACTAAATAGTTTAGTTTGTCTCATGAGAGAGGAGTTTCTTTATATATTTGCAGTAGTCTTTTTTGGCTCATATATTTGGATTGGATACTGGAAAACCTACTGTAGATTCTTGGCTTTTTGATTTTTTTTTTTTTTTTAAAAGGAGATTTGATGTTCATGGGATGACCTCTTTGTAAGCCTCTCTATAAAGGAGAACAACTTGCTATACTTTGTGTTAAATTCAGACAATTGATAGTATAAAATCTAATTAAGGTCTATGAATTCACTCAATCTACAAGTGACTTCAGAATCTCCTTGGATTATGAGAGAAAATTACCTTGAAATCAGTTCCTTCCTTATAGTTTTCAAACTGACGTGACCCTTTAATAAATTTCATTAATTTGTCATGTCCTAGAAATCATTTTCCAAGGGCTTAAGTTATGGTGTATACCACTACCTTCCAGTCTGTTAGTCTTCCAAATTATGAAAAATCACAGCAACATTATACTAGAAAGTTATGAGAATAAGAGACTTCATACTTCTAGAAACCAGGTTTGCTCCTTCTGTAAAAGTCTTTGTTTAAATGGACACAAGTCACATAAACTCCTGGGGGCAAGCTAATGAGGTTCACCTATTTACAATGTATTCCTTTTTGTGGCCTGTCTTTCTGTAGGGAGCAATGTGCTGCTTGGTGACATCTTTGTCCTTCTTGGGTCTTCCCTCTATGCCATTTCTAATGTTTGTGAAGAATACGTCGTGAAGAAGCTGAGCAGACAGGAGTTTCTAGGAATGGTGGGCTTATTTGGGACAATTATCAGTGGCATACAGCTGTAAGATTCTAAATTTTTTTCCTAAAAACATAATAAGCAAATATATCATTGATGATGACTTTCTAACTACTAATATTCATTATTTATTTGGTCCTAACTCATATTCGAAATCAGTAATAGACATTGCTAAATGTCTATTAGACGATTGTTAAAATGTCAAGAATTATGCTTTATTTTCTTAAACATGTGTGAGGCTTAGGATTCCTGTTTACAGTGTGGTAGAGGCATTACCAGGAATGATTTTTTCCCTCTAGTTATCTTCAGAAAATATGAATACATTAATTTCCTAAGTTTATTCAGAAAGAAAGCATAATGTCATGTTTTCCCTCTATAGTTGGCTACAATTAAAGAGCACTTTTAAAGGAGCCAAACATATCTTTATGAACTCCTTTGGTTTTATTCTTTGTCATTTTTATTAAAGATAGTTATTTTTATATTCTAAGAAAAATTCAGAAATCGACATAATTCTTCACCTTCGCCGAGAATAATAACTAAAATGTCTGTAAAACAGGAAAAATGTGTATGTGGATCTCTCTTTGACCTCTTATTTTAATCTTAGATTGATTGTGGAATATAAGGATATTGCCAGCATTCACTGGGACTGGAAAATTGGTATGTAAATAAATAAACAATAATTCTTTTTAGCCAGTTCTTTCGTTTAACAAAAACGAACATCCAGAAATAAATGCTTCCTTTTAAAAATATTTAGACATCTTTGTAAAATCCAGAGTAATTTGATGCATACCAGCTATAGTGGTTTACGTTGAGCTTTCTCTGGGGATTGGTAGGTGAACCTCCGTGAAAGTTCATTCTTAATCTTTACTTGCAGGGATAACCTTTCTTTACTAGGAATTCTGAACCAGACTGGAGGCTGACCTTTGGTCATAGCAGCTTTAAATTAGACCTGTATCTTGGGTCCTCAGACTTGTGAAGGTTTTTGTCTGCTTGATGTAATTTGTGAAGCATTAACCCGAATCACTGATGGTGTGGGGTCACCCCCTACTTCCCATTGCCCCTATCATCTGATATTCTTAGGCCTCTGCACAAATAAATGAAGCAGAAGAAAACAGTGATGAGACAGGAAAGATTTGAGTCTTGTTTGATGATGATGGGTGGAAAGAAGTTAAATGTATATAAATGTCATTGAAGATTGTGTCCCATGCTTGAATAATTTAATTCAACTAAATAACAGATTGCCAGAGAGAGAGAGAGAGAGAGAGAAAGAGAGAGAAAGGTGTTGGATATGCGGTGAGATTAAACAAGTGGTTGCAAAGCAGAGATACTGCTGATGTAGTCAGCATCCACATGAAGAGCATTGTCCTAAAGAGGGCAGTTATACTGTGCTGTCTTGGAGCATTTAATTTAACGAGATGAACAAATACAGTGGACTTAACAACTGTCTTTATGCCTTAAAAACACTTTATTCTGAATCCAATTACACAAATCATGTCCAACCAACCAAACAAATAAAAGCAAGAGAAGATAATGAGTGATTTTTCTGGACACGTGATATTGATTCTGCTTTTATTGACCTTTTATCATGGACATCACTCTGCCCTGGGAGGGTGGGTAGCAAGATTTTATAGCCTTGACCATCCAACACCCTGTTGGATTTTTGAAGTCCTTATCTACATTACAACTTGTTATTGTTTTGGTTTTTTTTTTCCAGAGAATTTTGTAGAGCATTTGCAATGCTAACTGTTAGCAAGCGGCCTTGTAGATAATATGTTTAAGAGTCTGGGAGTTTTTTATGACAGCCAAACCTCAAGTTCTTTTGCCTTCTGATTCCTTCCCATAATATTAGATATTCCATTTTTTCACAGCCTTGCTGTTTGTGGCATTTGCCCTCTGTATGTTTTGCCTGTATAGCTTCATGCCATTGGTGATTAAAGCCACTAGTGCTACCTCTGTCAACCTGGGCATCTTGACAGCAGATCTTTACAGCCTTTTCTTTGGACTCTTTCTGTTTGACTATAAGGTAAGCAAATAAGTCATGTTCAAATAAGAACACTTGTTTAGTCCAAAAGAAGTAGCAAGTTTCTTCAAGATTCTTAATCCACGGCCAGGCACGGTGGCTCACGCCTGTAATCCTAGCACTCTGGGAGGCCAAGGCTGGAGGATTGCTCGAGGTTAGGAGTTTGAAACCAGCCTGAGCAAGAGTGAGACCCCGTCTCTACTATAAATAGAAAGAAATTAGCCAAACAACTAAAAATGTATATGGAAAAAATTAGCCGGGCATGGTGGCGCATACGTGTAGTCCCAGCTACTCAGGAGGCTGAGGCAGAAGGATTGCTTGAGCCCAGGAGTTTGAGGTTGCTGTGAGCTAGGCTGACGCCACGGCACTCATTCTAGCCTGGGCAACAAAGTGAGACTCTGTCTCAAAAAAAAAAAAATTCTTAATCCAAAATAAAACCTTCTCATCCTCTTCACAAGAATTTCATTGGTCAGGCCTCCCTCCTTTTACTGCTTCCAAATTAAGAAAATTGGTCCAAGTAAGAATTGCCTGGGCCAGACACAGTAACTCACACCTATATAATCCTAGCACTTAGGGAGGCTGAGGTGAGAGGATCACTTGAGGCCAGGAGTTTGAGACCAGCCTGAGCAACATAGCAAGACCCCATCTCTGCAAAAAATAGAAAAATTAGCTGGGCGTGGTGGTACACACCTGTAGTCCCAGCAACTTGGGAGGCTGAGGTGGGACGATTGCTTGAGTACAGGAGTTGAGGTGCTATGATGATATCGCTGCGCTTTAACCTGGTCAACAGAGCAAGACCCTGTCTAAGAGTGGGGGTGGGGCAAGAATTTGCCCTTTTAGGGTTTTTCTAAAGGGTGAAATACAATGGGTTTCATCTTCTATGGCATGCCCTAGGAGCTGGCTTATGTAAATGCTAATGCACGTTGCCAGGTGATAAACAAGCAGTCCCAGAGCTGCCTGTCCACCTTGAGGGACAATCTAACTTAGGCTGGGCACTATGGACTTTTCTGTTCACTTTCTTTGGCCCTGGTACACGGACAAAAACTCTGGAGTACCTGACAGAAAGGAAGGGGAGAGGGGTGCATCATCATGCGTGCATGACAGAAATGGTTCCATCCTTGATAATAATTTTATGTCCAGAAGGGACTTTAAGGGTAAGTCAATGCTGTGGTTTTTTAGACGTTTTCTATCTCCACAGCATCACAGCACTCAAAAGCATAACTGTTACCGTCAGTAATGGCCACTATCGTGTGCACTAACTCTCAAGGCAGGAATGCATCGGCATCTTCAGGGAAAGCCAGAGAGCAAATACGTAGTTTGAAAAATAATATCCCAGAGAGTCTGATACACCTGCCTTTGAAAATGACTGACTGGTCGAACCATCTCATTTTAGTTAAAGGAAAGGAAGTTCTGGGGAGGTTATGTGCAGTCAAGTGACCTGTCTTTAGTCAGCAGCTGGTTAGTGGTTAAGACTAAATTTTATTTTATTTTATTTTATTTTATTTTATTTTATTTATTTATTTATTTATTTTTGAGACAGAGTCTCCCTTTGTTGCCCAGGCTAGAGTGAGTGCCCTGGCGTCAGCCTAGCTCACAGCAACCTCAATCTCCTGGGCTCAAGCAATCCTACTGCCTCAGCCTTCCGAGTAGCTGGGACTACAGACATGCACCACCATGCCCGGCTAATTTTTTCTATATATATTAGTTGGCCAGTTAATTTCTTTCTATTTATAGTAGAGACCGGGTCTCGCTCTTGCTCAGGCTGGTTTCGAACTCTTGACCTCGAGCAATCCTCCCGCCTCGGCCTCCCAGAGTGCTAGGATTACAGGTGTGAGCCACCGCGCCCGGCCAAGACTAAATTTTAGTTACCAGGCTCCTATCAGTCCAATCTTCCTTCCACGCTGTACTTTCCCTCTCATTTTCGTTACTCAGGTGAGAATCTCAAGCTTAAGAATCCGTCAACTCTTATACTGCAGAGAGAACCAAATTAATAGATTTTTTTCAGCTTCACAGCTAATTTGTAAACACCGAGGATAGCAGTTCTCATTCTTTTTAAATCTTAGGACCCTGTTAAATGCTTACAAGTTAAGGACTCCAGTCACTTATAACTATTATTTACCATATTAGAAATTAAAAATGAGAAATTTATAAAATACTTATTTATTAATTTATTTATTAAGGAAATATTAAAAAATGATCTCAAGTGCATGGCCAATGAAATTGGGGAATATGCTTGTGGGAATGAGAGAATCAGGAAATGAAAAGAAATAAAAATGTAGCCTCTATAATACAACGTTCTGCCTCTTTTACAACAGGTGATTCATCGTTGGGGAAATGTATCTTGTTATGCTCTTACCTATTTTGCTCTTTAAAACTTTGTTTCACTCTTTAAAAAAATCTAAACATGTTTTTGTAACACTGAAGTAACAATAAATAATAAAAATCCTGAATATTGGCATTCACTTTGTGCTTACACTAAAGTGTGTGGTGTGTGTGTGTGTGTGTGTGTGTGTGTGTGGTGTGTGAGTATTAACTTGCAATTATCTGATTTCCTCTTTTTTTCTAGGAATATTTTTGAAACGATTGGCTTCTGGGTCAGTGTTTTCCTTGTTGTATCTGTGAACAAGCCATGCCAAAGCAGTATTGGCAGAAAAAGATACAAAGTAACACTTCCATGCTCAGAGCTTATTCAACTATTGGCTACGTTATTCCTGTGATACATGTGTGGCATTCAATCAGGTATGTCAAGTGAGAATTACCTTTCACAATTATTTTCATAAAAATTTTGCTTCTAGACTGGAAAATTAAGGAATTAGGCAAACAAACAGAAAACATAGCTTATTTTAAAAGTTATTAGACATTGTATCTAGAAGTGAGACTAATGTTATGCTATCTATTCATTAAAATAAGTGCACCAAATTGTAACAGAGAGAAGAAACCTTAATGTTGCAAGTCTAGGCAACAAAGGCACCTTCACTTAACATTTTTCTCATCCTTCCAGCATGCAATAGTCCTTCAACAAACAACAAAAAACAAAAAAAACAAACTTAATGTCTTTACATAAATTTTCTCAATATAAAAATTATATTTTTATTTATATTTGATTAGACAGAGTCCTCACTCTGTTGCCCGCTAGATACCCATGGTCATGCCAGGCTTCACAGAACCTCCAACCCCTGGGCTCAAAGCATCTCCTTGCCTCGGCCTCTCCGAGTTATCTGGACTACAGGATGCGCCACCATGCCGGCTAATTTTTCATAATTAGTTGGTCCGATTCAATCTATTTATAGTAGAGACGGTCCGTTTGCTAGCTGGGGTTACAGGGTTATTGCCACTGGACCTGGGGCAGGAAGGGAATTACCACTTTTCTCCTACTTTCTTCTGGTGGCTTCTTGAAACTAATCTATGATTGACACCTTACTTGGATTACTAGAACTGTATGACTCTGCTTGAAGCTGTTGCAGAAGTTTGGGTTAGATAATGGAATTAAGGGCACATTGATTGCACAGTAAACCACTTGATTGGCTCTTTTGATTCCAATTACATGGATGGTATTTCATTTTCAGTAACATTCTACTAACCTAAATTTTTTGGTCATCAGGCAGTGATTACCTTTAATAATCTTGAAAAAGGAAATGGTGAAGTACATTCTGTGGACTAAGCAGATGTGAAAGCCAATTACCTGGTGTCAGGCACAATACACAACTCTAACCCAGTCCAGGTAAGAGGGAGGCTCTCACCTCTTGGATTATAGCTTTCAAGAGAAACATGAAAATATACTTGTTAATGCCTTAATTTATTGAAAACCTGTTCACTTAGAGAGAACTAAACACAGGTGTGATGTTTCCAGGTGGAATGTCTAATGAGTAAGTTTTCTGGAATTAGTAAAATGTCTAAAAGTTAATCAGTTCCAAATGCTAAATGCTTTCACGATGGAGAAACAGTTCTACCAATAGTGTAATATTTAGTTTGGCATTATGCTGTGATTTGAGAAGAGTTCTGTCTCTGTTGCTCAGATATGGCTGTGAAAGGTTTTGTACCTTGTACTATAGGACAATTGGAGTTGTTGCAAGCAAAGTAGATATTTCACCGACAAAAGACATTCAAGGAACGTATTAAATATTTGGGGAGAGTGGTAGCCAAAGGGTAAACTCCCATCCCTGTTTCTTGTTAGGTTCTGCTGGGTGAGAAGAATGTTCTACATTGCAGCTTTCAACTTTGTGAAGTTGAGGAAGACTGATTTCAAGTTTCTTCAATTAGCAAACTACGAGATATATCATTTCGCGCCCTCGCCAGCAAGGAAGACGCGGCAACGATTCTTCGACAGTGCTTTAATGGGGTTCCTTAATCATGATGCGGAAAGAACCAGGCGGCAGCGCGCAGGGCTTGCTATTAAACCCCAGAAGCCACAACCCAAGGCTGGGATAGGCCTTTCTCAGCTGTCGAGCCCAAAGGCATTAGCCATAACAGGACCCTTTGTTTGCATGCTCGCACCACAGGCAACGGACAATTGCGCGTGCGCTGAACTTGTTAGCTGTCTAGCAAAGCAAAAACAGGCCAACCTTGAATGGCGTGACACGCGCCCCACATTCCCGTTTATATAATTGAGAGCTGGGCAACCGTTCAAGCCGTCCTTCTACCGTGCCATCAAGGTTGCAGAGCCTCCACTTTCACCCAGCAACACCTACCCGTTCACATGGAGCACAACTCGGAGGTGTGCAAACTGCTGTGGATAGAACTGCCTTATTGGCAATGGGAGGAAACCCCTCAGATGCAAAGCATTTACTAAAAAACCTGGGCGTAGAGCGGGGTGGCAACCCAAAACTAGGCAACTTTTGCATGGTCAACCAACCACCCTGTGCGGACTTGCTCTTCAAGCGCAGCAAATGTCTGTTGCCCAATACCACTGGTCCGTGGTCTGCAAGACCGAAACAGAGGTCAATAAGAGCTAGAGCTTTAACAGGAACAGGGAAGGTATCTAGGAAGCAGGTAACAATGCGCAGAGGGTTGAGACTGCATTCCAACACAAGTGTATAATTGCCATACTTAGAATTCACATGTGTACCAGAGTTTTCCGGGA